CACATCGTAAGCATGCTTAAGACACCTAGCAAAAATTTTAGAAAAATCCAAATCATTTGCGTATAAATCTTTCAAGTAAGAAAATCCTAACAATTTAAATTCAAGGGTAGCAACAAGAGTGTATCTTCAGGAGAGTGCATCGGCTACCACATTATCTTTACCTTTCTTGTACTTGACAATGTACGGAAAGGTATCGATGAAAGAGATCCACCAGATGTGTCTTGGACTCAACTTTTTCTGAGATTTGATGTGCTTCAAGGACTCGTGGTCGGTATGGACGACAAACTCACGTGAGCGCAAGTAATGTTGTCATGTTTGGAGAGCACGGACCAAGGAATAGAGTTCTTTGTCGTATGTGGAGTAGTTGAGGGCTGCACCATGTAACTGCTCACTAAAGTAGGCCACGGGTCTTTTATCTTGAGTTAGAACAGCTCCAACCCCTACACAAGAAGCATCACATTTAACTTCAAAAGATTTTGAAAAATCGGGTAAAACAAGGATAGGTGCTTGTGTGAGCTTTTGTTTCAATGTATCAAAAGCATCTTGTTGAATACTTCCCCATTCAAACTTATCATTCTTTTTCGTGATGGCGGTTAGTGGAGCGGCAATGGTGTTGAAGTTTCGCACAAATTGTCGGTAGAAGCTTGCAAGGCCATGGAAGCTCCAAACATCCTTCACGCTCGTCGGTGTAGGCCATTCTTGAATTGCCTTTACTTTGCTTTCATCCACACTAATCCCATCTTTTCCAACAATAAAACCAAGGAAGTTGCACTTGTCGACACAAAAGTCGCACTTCTTGCGGTTAGCAAACAACTTCTCATTTCGAAGAACATCAAGTACATCATTAACATGTTTTGTGTGTGCATCAATAGATTGACTATAAATGAGTATATCATCAAAATACACAACAACAAATTTATTAATGAAATTCCTCAAAATATGGTTCATCAACCTTATAAAAGTGCTCGGTGCATTTTTTAGTCCAAATGGCATAACAAGCCATTCATATAAACCAAAAGTGGTTTTGAAGGCTATTTTTTGTTCATCACCTTGATTCATACGAATTTGGTGATACCCACTTTTCAAATCAATTTTGGAAAAGATCGTTGAAGCACTCAAATTATCTAACATATCATCTAATCGAGGAATTGGGTGACGATATTTTACCGTAATTGCATTGACAGCACGACAGTCAACGCACATCCTCCATCCTCCATCTTTCTTTGGCACCAAAAGTACGGGCACTGCACAAGGACTGAGCCTCTCGCGAACCCATCCTTTGCTCAACAACTCATCAACTTGCTTTTTGATTTCCTTTATCTCATCCGGATTGGTTCTATATGCTGGTCGGTTCGGAAGAGCAGATCCCGGGATAAAGTCAATTTGATGCTCAATCCCTCGAATTGGAGGCAACCCACAGGTACTTCTTCAGGAAACACATCTTCATAATCCTGCAACAAGTTAGCAATGCTAGAGGGAAGAACATTAGTATCTTGATGAGACAAATATGAAGGCCTGGTGAATATTAACAAACAACGTACTCCTTTTTCCAGTTGGTTGATCTCCTTCCTACTAACAAATAAGTTAGTCATCATACTCTCGTGTATAGAAGATCTGTCGGCATCTACCTTACTCACACCACTCGTGTTTTTGTAATTTAAGTGTTTGGATTTTGAAGAAGAGGGATTGGGAGAGTTTTGAATAGAAAGCTGCTCAAAAATTTTATGTGGGTCAAGGGTGTTTGAAATGCACTTACTTTTCTCATCATCTTTGCTTACAAGGACTTTCTTGCCATTCTTTTGAGCTCTTTTCTCACTTTGTTCCGCCGCATATTGTTTGTATAAATACTTTTGATCCTTGTTGACCTCTCTTGGACTCAATAGCTTCAAAGTAATAGGTTTCCCAAGATGGAAGAAAGTGTACCTATTACGATATCCATCATGAAGTACCTTCTTATCAAATTGCCAAGGACGTCCTAGTAACACATGACAAGCTTGCATCGGGGCTACGTCACACCTCACTTAGTCTTTGTACCCTTGAATCTCAAACTCCAAATCCACTTGTTTGAGAACGCTGATCTCGCCACACTTGTTCAACCATTGTAACTTATACGGCTTCGGATGGACAAGGGTTTTTAAACCCAACTTCTTTACTGCAAGGTCACTCATAATATTTGTGCAACTACCTCTATCAATGATCAAGCTACATACTTTTTCTCCCACCTCGCATCTCCCATGGAGTAAGTTATCCCGTTGCTCCGTGTCCTCGACACCTTTGGGCAAGGTACTGAGAGCTCGCAAGGTCACCAACGTCAATCCATTATTGGTTATGGATTCATCTTCCTCCGGATTGATCTCTTCGGTCTCCTCCATGTCCTCCTCGGATTCGGATACGTAATCTCTGGTGGACGTGATGATCATGGTCCTCTTGTTAGGACATTGATTGGCAAAATGTCTTCGTCCTTGAAACTTAAAACAAATAACTCACGAGTGCGAGTAGTGGATCCATTATTTGGAGAAGATGTCGTACCCTTTGATTCTTACGATGCAGCAACGGTGGATTCCTTCCCCTTGCTTGTTGTTTAGGGAGTTTGCGGCTTTGACACGTTCTTCGGCTGCGGCGTCCTTTGATGTATGTGCACCTTATTCTTTTTCTTCAATTGTCTCTCCAATTTGATGGCTTGGTGTACCATCTCCTCAAAAGCCACGTAATGATACATCTTCAAACTATCAGCAATTTCTTGATTAAGCCCATTGAAAAAACGGACCATAATACGTTCAGGATCATCGTCAACATCAGCTTGCTTCAGCAACATCTCTAACTCCTTGTGGTATTCATCCACCATTCTTGATCCTTGCTTCAAACCTTCCAATTTCTGTAGTACCTCACGGTGATGATGTGGCGGCACAAACTTTCTCCGCATGAGTCCTCGCAACTCATTCCAAGTGCGCACGGGAGGCTCTCAGTGTCTACGTCGTGAGAGGTTAGTTTGGTCCCACCATGATAAAGCATAGTCAAAGAACTCCATGACAGCAACATGTAACTTTTGTTGCTCTGAAAGTTGTTGCACGTCAAAAATCAACTCCATCTTACGCTCCCATTCTAGAAATGCCTTGGGATCATATTTTCCGTTGAATGGCGGAACTTGGAACTTAACAGGTGGTGTAACTTCATCATCGTACCTCCTTCGGGGGTTATGTGGTCTCCGTCGTGGGAGTTTATCATTGAACTCTTCTTCTTCCTCCTCATAGTCACGCTCATACCTCCTTAGTTCACGGAGGTTACGTCGGGGAGCTGGTCCTTCTCTTCGAAGGGCGTTATTTTTAACTCCCCCTTCACGAACACCTTCCTTGTCAATGGCTTCAGAACCATGTGGAGTTCCTTGCCGTTGTTGGTTAAACTCCAACTTATCCATGCGATCATTAAGCACCTCGACTGTAGAATGGTGTAACTCCTTCACTTGGTTCATCACCAAATTCAAGAGGTTTTGAACATCTACATTTTGAATCCGTGTGTCCTCCTCTCCTGCCAGTAGGATAATTAACATGGAAATATATGTATAGATTAGTTAGAAAATAAGCCCTCACAACTTGCGTGTTTCACTCCTCACGTATTGTACCTCTCCGTCTTGCACAAAGCACAAATTAGATCGGTGGATGTTTCCAAAGATGTGACCAAAAAAAAATCAAGAGAGTGAAAGAAACTACGAAAAACTCGAATGAAATTGAGAATTAAAAAAGAAAAAAAATACTTATGACGGAAAATGCGGAAGCTATAATATAACAAACAAACAAGTATGCTGTTTTTTTATTAGCACAAGATTTTGTAATAATTTTTTTTCCTTTTTTTTTAAAAAGAAAGAATAACACTCGACTGTAGAAACTCGAGCTAACTAGCTCTGATACCAAAATGACATAACCCGTGGGTTTGTATATTTTTCCCAGGTTGAACAAGAATAACCTTAATCAATGTAAGAAATTCGAGAAAGAAAATAGATAAGATAGGGCAGAAATTTGATACCCAACCTAGTTGATTAAGAACCTCAAGAATTCAATTTTAGACTCAAAATCCTAACTATGGAAAAGGAACAAATCGATAGGCTTAATTCCTCTGCAAGAATTTAGAAGCCACGAACCAATGGATAATTCCAAAGACCCGATTTGAAAACAATGTGCAAGGGATCACTCACTCATACTTTGAAAGTAAACACAATGAAAAACACAAGTTTTCAAAGGAAGAGAAATATATTATGACCAAAGTTGATATGAGAATGGATACAAGAGCCTATATATAGACCAAGGGAGGGAGACAAAGCACTTAATTACAATTAAATTGGCAACACATTCCCATAGAGAGCATATCACAATATACATAATTGCTACATGTTCCCAAAAGCATATTACCTATATCACAATAATGACAACACATTTCCAAAAGAATATATTTCAAAGATTGTAATTAATGGTAGTACATTCCCAAAAAGTGATATAAGCAATGATGTCAATGCTATGATGTAAGCAATGACATCATCACATGTCTTAAATTATTTTGATTTGTATAACCGTTAAGCTCGGGCCGATAGGTCTCCATGCTTCATCTTTGTTTATATTCTTCATCTCGAGCTCTCGTATTAAGCTGGAAAATTGATCTTGAAGTTTACGAGTTCGGCTTTGGGTAATTGGTTCAAGTGGTTCGGAAGGCTTTTGAACGTTCACATCAACCTCTCAGTTTCAGGAAAAGAAAATAAAGTCTGTAGACTTGTGAAATCACTATATGGACTTAAACAAGCTCCAAAGAAATGGCATGAGAAATTTAATCATACCATGATGGATAATGGTTTCAGAATCAATAAATGTGACAAATGTATATACGTAAAGACCACTGAGTCACGTTACGTGATAATATGCCTTTACGTAGATGATATACTTACCGTTGGTAGCAACAAATATATCGTTAAGTCTACCAAAGACATGCTAAATTCTAGATTTGACATGAAGGACATGGGTCTCGCTATGTGATCTTAGGAATTAAGATCAACAGACCCGCAAATGGTCTAATTTTGAGTCAAACTCATTATGTAGATAAAATCCACGAAAAAATCAGCAAGGATGATACAAGAATAGCGAGAACTCCGCTGGACACAAGTATCCATTTATCCAAGAATTGTGGAGAGGGTGTATCCCAAATCGAATACGCTCGGATAATTGGAAGCTTAATGTACCTGATGAGCTGCACTAGACTCGACATAACTTATGTTATAAGCAAGTTGAGAACGTTTACAAGTAATCCTAGTCGCGAGCATTGGAAAGCCATAGTTCGTGTACTTAGGTACTTACGATTCACTCGAGATTACGGGCTGCACTACAACAGACTTCCAGTTGTAGTAGAAGGCTACTCAGATGCAAACTGGATATCTGATACTCTAAATTCGAGATCAACTAGTGGATATGTGTTTACACTAGCGGGTGCAACAATCTCTTGGAAATCCTCAAAACAAACAATTATTGCCAAATCCACAATGGAATCTGAGTTCATTGCATTGGATAAAGCTGGAGAAGAGGCGGAATGGAATCGCCACTTTCTTGAGGACATTCCAGAGTGAGACAAACCTGTCTCTGCCATAACCCTTTACTGCGATAGTAAATCAGCTATTGGCAGAGTAGAGAGTACAATGTACAATGGAAAGAGTCGATACATTCGCCGTCGACATAATTCTATAAGGCAACTAATCACAACTCCATGTTGCGTCAAAAGATAACTTAGCGGATCCACTGACCAAAGGGTTAAATCGTGATGCAGTTTATAAACTGACAAGAGGAATGGGGGTTAAGCCTGCTGAGATATAAGTTTTATAAAGGAAAACCCAACCTAGAAAGATTAGAGATCCCAAGAACTAGGTTCAATGGGACAACCTACCTATAATACTTATGTGTGTCACTGTGGGGGCTTTTAGCATCGACCCATTTATGTCAAAGAACGGTGGCAAAACAAGGAGGATAGCAAAGAATTGCTTTAATGATCACTAAGTAAGTGTCGTATCACTCGGAAACTTAGAAAGATCACCTATGTGAGAGAGAAGTGGGGCCGCTTCAAAGAAGAACTGTTCAGGCACAGCTCTTTAGAAACTCTCGCAGAACCAGGACGGGTTCCGTGGCCAAAAGGGACTAAACAATGAGAACCGAATTAGGCATATGAATTTTGTGTCAGTATGTAGCCCACTTACTAGAAAAATTGAATAGTTCAAGAGCAACGTGTCCGGTGGACAGTTGATAAAGACTACGTACTGCTCAAAGGAAAGTTCAAAAGAAAACCTGCTTATCCTATACAAAATTCACTTTCTTTCATCGAGTCATCGTTTTCCTCTTTGATGTAGGGGATTGTTAGTGTAGGTGAAAGAGGAAGAAGTAAGAGAAGGGTGAATTGTCCCACATGGGAAACTCATAAAATATCATCCTTCCATATATTGTCTTGCACCACAACACAAGAATAAATAAGAAATTGGGTTTGGATTGGGCATGGCTTGGTTTGGACCTAGCCTAGATTGGGTTTGGGCCTTGGGGCCGTGGGGGCTTGTGGGCCAAGTCCAATTATTTTAGTTTTTGTATTTATCTGATTAATTTATTTTGAATTTGAAAAATTCAAATAATCAGATAAACATTACGATTGGAACTGACTTGCAATCTGGAGAAGTGAGTGCAATGTTGACTTCTTCCATTTTTACAAAAAATTAAATAAAATAATCCTCAAAACCATGAAAAATATGTAATATATATATATCTTCTCATTCGTTTTTAAAACCACAAAAAAAAACAATCTTTTCTTAAAAAAGAAACGCTCTCAATTTTTTTGCAAAATCTCCCATTCTAAAAGTTTCTAATTTGGTTCGCGGAATCTGTTATTCCGTAAATTATTCGTTCTATCCTGGGAGGCGATCGGTGGAGGGCTGAAATTTGCTTCAAGGAGATCGCGTTTCACGCGAAGTTCGGATTTATCTGAATCTGATATTTGAAACTATTATCAAATTTGGTGATTTGATTTTGTAGCCACATCTCAGATTCGTTATTAAATATCCAATATATATATATATATATGTGAAACCCTAATTTTATTCATAAATTTGTTATTTATTATTTTAATAAATCCTAATTTTATTAGATTATTGGTTATTTTAACAATTTTAATTAATTATCCAAACTCAATATTTAGAAACAATTAAAACAAAATTTTAAAATTACGTGAGAGCATAAATGGTAATACATTGTTAAATATATATATAATATAATATAATATAATTAGAATTAGATTATTATTATTATTATTATTATTATTATTATTATTATTATTATTATTATTATTATTATTACAGTCATTGTTCTCTTTTCTGACATTTGAAAATAAGAATGATTTACGCTGTATTAATTAGTTTCCGTCTTTATACATATAAATATATCAGTCATGACCCGTGTCATACACGAGACTACTGTTAAATAATATTTTATTCATCTATCAAATTATGTTATTATTTTTTATTTATTAAATATATAATTTATAAAAAATAATTTGAGTTGGTTGAATTAGTATTTTTGAAAAGTACAATTTCTATAAGTATTATAACAAAAATACAATATATATATATATTTTAGCCAAAAATTCAATAATTTAATACAAAATATTATTTTTTATATTATAAATACAATTTTTTGTATCTAACATAAAAATGCATTCGTACAAAATACAAAGTAAAATATATATTTGTCACAACTTTTTCTATTTATTTAATTATTTTTTATCAATTATTTAATCAATTTTGATTATTTTTCTATTTTATCCTATTATATTTTTATCAAAAAACAAAAAGTAGTTTCACTATCCGAGATAAATAAACCATATTATAATAATAGTTAAAGTCTATTTCAATCATAATTTCAACCGTAGAGTAATTCATAATAATTGTTATTTCTTTCGTATGATATGTGGCTAAACACTTTTATCTATAAATATATATGTATATATATATATATTCACGAATTTTTATTTTATTTTATCTATTTCACTTTTTTTAAAATAATATTATTTTTTCAAACTCAAATAAAATTTCATAATTTCAGATCAACGTTAATGTATTTACAATATGAGTTTTAATGAAATTTTCTTATAATTAAAATTTGTTAAAATTATTTAATGAAATTTTGTTGTAAATAAAAATTGTAGAAATCACACACACATATATTTCGATCATATATATATTTCGATCAATATTTAAAGTATCTAACTTTTATTCTTTCTGTCCTAAAATAATAGTCCTATTTTTTCATTTTAATCCATTTTTAAAAAATAATCTCGTTTCCGTAAATAAATATATTATAATAAAATTTTATTATTTTTTATTATTATTACACAAATTTCATTGATTTTTAACAACTGCAATCACAATGATAAAAAAAAAAAAAAAAAAAAAATTATTTACTTTTTACCAATTATCAATATAATTTTGATATTCCTTAAATTATGTATCGTATCCCAATAAGACTATTATTTTAGGGCGGATGAAGTATTATTTATAAAAATTATACAAAATTTAAAAAAGATTTAAATTAATTGATATTAATAGTAATCTTAAATGCATATAAACAGCTTTTGATTTTCTAAAAATTTTTAATTATTTGACCGGATAAAGACCTAATTTAAATGTGTGGTACATTAACATTTTGAAATAAATTTTAAATTTAAAAAACTTATTTTTGATAATTTTTAATTTTTCTAAAAAATTCTTTTACCCTTAATAATTAACATTAATTTCACATATATTAATATATTATTATTATTATATTTATTCATAATTTTATTATATTTTCTTCTATAGCTTAAAAATTTAGTTTTACACTAATTAAAATTATTATTTATTATATAAAATTTATTTTATTTGTGTAATTTTTAAGGATTGAGTTTTTAAAGTGGGTTTGTATATAAGATTTTGAATTTTCATAATTATGTTGAATTAAATTTTGATAGAATAAAAAAGAATTGATATATATATATAATAAATAATTTAAAATAAAAATAAACATAATAAAAAATAAAAATATTTATTACTTTGTTATAGTAATATAATATTACAATTTAAAATAATATATTATAGTTTTAAATGAAATTAAATATGAATATACAACTAAAAAAATACGTATAATAAATAATCCATATATTTAATCCACGCCGCCGCTTGCCCCTGCCACCCTTCTCCAGTCTCCAGTCTTCAGTCTTTTTCTTCTTTTTTATTTATTTTGTATTTTTTATTAGTAGGTCCCACCTCCAAAAAACCGAAAATAAAAAAAATAAAAGAAAATTTACAGGGGACGTGGCGGATCGAAATCTAGGGTAAATATATATATATATATATATTAGATATTAGGTAATTTGAATTTGTTATTATTGTGAAGTAGACTGAGAAAATTACGTAATTTTTTTTTTTTAAACCGATAAGTTTTTAATTCATCATAATATAAAAAATTAAATACTATCTTTTTACATATTATTTGTATTTTACGTCATTATATTTAATATTAAAAATATTTTTATATTTATTTATTTCACAAATAGCATTGTATTCGTATTATAAATTTTTTTAGCAGTATTATCAAATGTACCTCTTAATTTTTTATATTTTTTTTATTTTATTTTTTGTATCAATTTTCCAAATCTTAATACTTCACTCCATCTGGCTATTGGGCATTCTAAATCTCATTCAATCAACTCTATATTTATGTATTTTTGGCACTACACTTTATTATCTCCACTCAACCACATATCCGTAAAACAAAAAGAAAAAATAATAAAAATTCAAATCCTGTAAAAAATAGTCTGGTGGTGTAGAAGTTCTCACATCATCTTAAAAAAAAATAAAAAAATTCAAGTATTCGTTGTGATAAATGACTATAATCTCCCACTACTTCTTTTACTCAGCACAACTCCTTATTTTAACATATTTGGTATAGCACTTATACAATAACCCACCTCGTATGCACAAGCTCATAACCATGCTACTTGGCAAGCTCTCATGGATGAAAAGTTATACAGTGGCAGAGCCAGGAGGTTGAAACCCGGGGGCAAAGGGAAGGTCGGAGGAGAGGATCGGCAATAAAAGAAAAAAGAGAATCTTAATATACTTTAGATTTTATTAAGTTAATTATGTATTTTAAGAAGTATATTATTTTTTATTTTATATTTTTATATAATAATATATTTAAATTAAATATAATTATAAAAAAATATTTTGTAATAAAAATATAGTTTATGAAATTATAAAATATGCATATATAAAAGTAAGATTATATTATTATTTATTCTATAGCAATTAAATACTAATAATTATTTTCTTTTTCATTTAAAAATATATTAAAATTTTTATAAGATATGAATTATAATATAGATGTATATATATAATTTTTATTAAAAAATAGAAAAATTAATTATATATTAATTAAAAAATATTTTAATTGACAAAAAGTGGATATAGTTTGATGTGACAAAATGGAAAATATCATTATTATTGTTATTTCGTTAATAAAAATTAATAATGATAATAATATAACATAATTTTCATTA